GTTTCTGAAGTTCCGTCTGTGTTTGTGGAGAAATGAAGGTCTTCATTTTGACTTCATCAAATTCAACTGGTCACAATGAAGATGTTTCTTCTACTGTTTCTACTGGGAATAAACGGCGGCGGAGCGAGTGAGTCTGACTTTGTTTTTATATTTGACTCATTTAAACCAATGTTTACCGACTGTTTTAGAAATGTCCGAATTCATCCGTTTATTCTTCATCAAATGACTCGTTCATGACATTTTTATTTCACTTCGTTTATTAGTTTTTTCACCCAGTTACAATAGTTTACACTCGGAAATATTTGACATTTGTGACGCATTTTAGTTTTTACCCGTTGTTTTCTCTTCTTTCTTTCTGCTCCATTTTATTTGTTTACATTTCGTTTGTACAGCCCTGAGGTAAATTCATTATTTTAATCTGTATATGTTTATTTAATGTTAACTGAGAATGTTATAACATTTGTTAAACTAAAAAAAAAAAACATAAAAATGGGGTCAAAATATCAATAGAACAAAGTTAAATGACAGTAAAATGTTTGATATTCACATTAATTTTACCGTCATGTCTCAGTTTGATTGACAGTTATTATTGTCCAGTTATTTATATCTTCAAACACAGCAGTAACTGACCACTGTGGGACTTCTCTGTAGTGATGTGTGTGGATAAAATATATTCATGTGTTCGTATTTTATAGAAGTATGCAACATATATAATCATGTTTTATAATAGAATAAATAATCATAAGAGATGTGCTTAAACATATAACCAGCTTGAACATAAAATGCTGCTTAAAGCTAGAACTGAAAACATGCAGATGTAGAGAAGGAGCTGCGAGGTTGAGATAAAACCAAGGTTGGTTGTGAAAAGAGGAGTACTTGGTGTGGTGGGAAACAAACTTTTAGAATAACAATTTGACAATGGCTGGATTCATAGTTAGAACACAAGGCCCCAACAACAGCACCTGGGCACGATAAGAACGGGATGAGAAACTAACGGTGTAGATACAGTTGCCAAAAAGAATGTATGACTGTGTGCAGAACAAATGAAGTCTGTATTGCTTGATATGTACCACCCCTGGATATGTGTGTCAATAAAACGAGCCTGAGTTGGTGGAGAGAGCAGGATTCAGCAGTCAACCCCCTGACTCGCCGCTGGACCCTCCCTGTGCACAGGCGAACTCGAGCAACGACTTTTGTCTTTTCTTTATACTTTTTGAATGTTCTTGATCAACGAATCCGGGGTGGTAAAACCTTACCACAACATGTGTCGTTCGCGAGTGAACGAATCTTTCATATGATTCGTGACTCCCGAGTCATATGAAACCTTTGTTCATATTGAACTCACGAATCACTCACAAATCACTCTCTGCAAACTAATCTTTGACTGTGAACTAATCTCAGATTCGTTCTCACAGTCGTTCAAAAATTCATTGTCAGATTTGTTCCCGTAGATTCGTTCAAAACTTCGTTCTCGCAGATTCGTTTCATTTGTCACGTGACAAAGAGCTCGGGTCTCTTTTGCTCTCATTCATCTTCACATTGTGTGTTTTTATTTCTTATCTTTTCACATGGTTTTAATTTCTTATGGTATTTTGTGTACTTTGTAGACTTTGTCAGCGGAAGAAAACAATGTTGCCTTCAGTATTTACTAGTGTCGCAGAACCGCAGCCTTCTTTACAACGACCACAATAGGGCTAAAGCGCCACCTGTTGTAAAACCAATGAAATGATTAGTTCACGACTAGTTCATTTTACTGTTCGAGAGTCAAAGATCAGAATCCGTAAAAAGGGTCGGTCTTCCCATCACTAGTTCTCTGATGTCCACACTCTGATGTGGATTTTTATTGGTTAAGTTTAGGTAATTAGTTATTTGAAAAGATTTTAAAACAAATGTTGATTGATGAATCAGAAATGTTTTTATTGCCAGGTAGGTTTACACCTACGAGGAATTTGTTGTGGCAGGGAAAGAAACAGTGCAGGTAAACAAATGTTCATAAATAGATTGTGCCTATGGGTGGACATATACAGAATAATAAGAATATACAAAATCTTTAAAGTGAAGGGGTGAGTGTGTGCAGGTGGGGGGTCAGTGAGAGCCATTTTGTGTGTTGACAAGGCCAATAGTAGATGGGAAGAAGCTGTTTTTGTGGTAAGAGGTTTTGGTCCGGAAGGACCTCAACCTCCTGCCCGAGGGGAGCGCCTCAAAGAATTTGGGAACAGGGTGACAGGGATTGGTTGCAATCTTTTTTGCTCACTTTAGGGTTCTGGAGGTGTACAGGTCCTGCAGAGAAGGTAGGTTCCAGCCAATTACTTTCTCGGCAAAGCGGATGACACACTGCGGTCTGCTCAGATCCTTTGCAAGGGCAGCAGCGTACCAGATGGAGGAGGTGAGAATAGACTCGATCATTGAGGTGTAGAAGTCCACCATCATTGACTGGCAGATTGACCTGTTTCAGCTTCCTCAGGAAGTATATCCTCTGTTGGGCTTTTTTGATGAGGGAGCTGATGTTTGGCTCCCATTTAAGATCCTGGGTGATGATGGTTCCTAGGAAGTGCATTGAGCTCTAAGTTCTACACCAGGTCACCAGGCGGTCAATCTCCCATATGTACGCTGACTCGTCTCCATCACAATATGAGTCTGATGACGGTGGTATCATCCACGAACTTCAGGAGCTTCACGTTCTGATCACTCGAGGTGCAGGTGTTTGTGTACAAGGAGAAGAGCCGAGGAGAAAGAACACCTTACATGCTGACTCCTGTCAGTCAGGAAGTCAGTGATCCCCATGCAGGTGGAGTCAAGTACACTTAGCTGGAGTAGTTTATGGACTAGGATAGCTGGGATGATGGTGTTGTGTTGAAGGCTGATCTCAAATCCACAAACAGGATCCCAGTGTAAGTTCCTGTGTGGTCCAGATGCTGAAGGATGAAGTGAAGGGCTAAGTTTACAGCATCGTCTACAGATGGCTCTGTAGACGAACTGCAGGGGTTCCAGAAGTGGGTCAGTGATACATTTGAGGTGTGTCAGGATGTTCAAATGACTTCATGACCACCAAGGTTAGGGCAAGGGGTTATAGTACTAGTTTTGGTAGTAATAGTTGAA